CATTGGTTTTAATTGTTTTTAAAATAGGCAGCGCCATTTACTCATTCGACAGATATTTGTAAACATCTATGATACGCTGAGCATCGATAACACAGACGACAATGCCTGCCCTCACGGAGCTTACACGCCCTTGGAGACTGGTTATGTATCATCCAACATAGATTTTCTCTGCTCAGTGGGGAAACACACAGACATCAGAAGCCCCTGGGAACTGACAGAGTGAGAAGCCGCAATGAAGGGACTCGGACTCAACGTCCTGTGCTCTAACCTCAGAGGATTCACTCAGCATAATGACTCAGACGGGGGCGGCCAGAGGACGGGTAGTAGAAGAGTCCGTTTGATGCCTGCCCAGTTTCAGGGGACCTCTATCCCAGGGGACTGTGGAGGTCAGAGGGATTTTGCAGCTCCTCAAATGTCTCAGTCACTCCTCTTTCACACGTCTCCCTCTTTTCCATCTTGAAAACTCTCCCACAGCCTTCAAAACTCAGCTTAGGTCTCACCTCCTCCAGGAAGTCTTCCCAGCCTGATTGAGGTCATTGTCCACTGGGCTTCCCAGAATGACGGGCAGCCTTCTATCTTGGCACTTACCTCACTAGACTCTGATTCAGTGCTTTACTTGTAAATCTCTCTCATGAATGCCTAGAATACAGACACTGTATCTGGTTTGGCTTTGTTTCTGCAGCACCTAAAACAATACCTGGCACATAGTAGGCACTTAATAGCTTTTACATGAGTAAAGGGATAAAGAGATGTATGGATGAATGAATAAATAAAGTGGTAATGGAAGCTCCTTCCCATACATTTGCAGAGAGTCTCATAGACTCAGTGGCGAGAAATCTATGTCACAGCAAATGGACAGATATTTATTATGTGACTACCCATGCCGGGTACCAAAGCTGACACCACAGGAGCCACCGCGATTTTGAGATAAAGGTCCTGGTAGAGTTCTAAGTTAAAGAATAGAATGAGGTTTAAATAAAAGTTGAACGAATCAGTGAAAGGAGGTGGTCAGGCAGTCCGTGGGCCAGATGTCATTGGGTGATACAGAGAAGGTACTTCCCTCCTTGCCACCCTGAAGAGGGCAGGGAAGACCTCAGAGGGCAGACATACAGCTGGGACTCGAAGAACAGTAGAAACTGAAATGGGCGGTAAAGGTGAAAGCCTCATGTTGGGGTTGCAGGGCTGGAGGAGGGGAGGCGCCATCCAGGGCTTAGCACACCCACAGAGGGTCCGGAGTAGTGGGAAGGTGCCTGCAGAGCAGCACAGGAGGAAGAGTGTGGAGCGATGAGCTAGGACACCTTGAAGGTCAGACCAAGGAGACTCATCTTTAAGCTGCTGGCATCAAGAAGTCAATAAAGGTGAAGGGTATGAAAGAGGTGTATGGGGAGGGGGTATGTGGCAGTGAAAATGAGACATCAGAATGCCGGGCCAAGGGCCACAAGGAGACAAGTTAAAAGCTTTGGGGGACATGAAGAGGGAGCCAGTAAGTGCAAAGTAAGAGGTAAGAGAGGGGTGGGAGCTTTTGTTTTTTTTCTTGTTGTCTAAGAAAGACCTGATGAGATGTGCCATCTGTAGGTAACAGGAAGCAGTAGGAGCAAGAGTCAAAGATGATGCCTCCATGGCGATGGAAATCAGGAGGCTGTGGGCAGGAAGCAGCTCAGGAAAATATGAGATGCTCTGTGATGCTGCTGTGATGGGGGCACATCCTCCCTCGCTCTGACATTGGATCTGCATCAGCCATGAGGACACTGGGGATGCCCAACAGGAGGGCAGAAGCACAGAGCCTGACTCTGGGGAGACCTCAGGGCAGAGCAGGGGACGTGGAAGCCACCCAACCCCAGGTGATCTTGGAAGCTGCCCAACAGATAAGATCCCGGGGGGGTGGGGGGGAGCAAAAATAAGGAAGCAAAGGGCCCTGGAATAAATTTCAGGAACGGCCACATGTAAGGGACAGATGAAAGAGGGCGCACAGGAGCCCGGAAGGCTGAGAAGCAGCATGAAGTCAGGAGGGCGAGGAAGGAGAAGTTCAACAGCATCAAGAGCTCGAATGATGCAAAGAAGTTAAGAGCCGTGAGATGGAAGGAAAGGCCACTGGCCTGGGATCAGAGAGTCATTTTAGCCACCAAGAGCCCCTCTCGGAGGAGAGGGAGAGGCAGATGTCTAAGCAGGAAAAGGGAAGGAGGGTCCGATGGTGAGGAAGTAGAGGTCAGTTGAACAGGCCACTGAGAATTGAGCAGAGTTCAAATCCAGACACAGGTCCACGGACAGTTCCCACGCTCCAACCAGGTCAGGGATGATGTGGACGTGGGTATACAGAGAGCAGGCAGCATGGGAGTCAGAGAGAGTGAAGAACTTGAGGGAAATGGAAAAATTCACTACATCAGGCCCCAATGAAAAGGGAGAGAAGTCAGTCACAGCAAGGACCCGTGCTGGGTAAGCCAGGCCCACAGACCGTGAGGTCTCTCTCCCTCTCACGCGCATGCGTGCACATGCACACACACACACAGACATGCACACACTCTCTGACATCAGTCTGGACTGACCACAGGGCTGTGGCTAGCCATCAGCAGAGCACCACCTGTCCCACGTCATAAACCCAGACTCTGTTACAACACAGCCATCCTCTGTCCCGCTGGTTCCCACCCTTTTTTGGATATGAAGACTCTTTTTAAGTTTTGCGGACAACCTTCCCCACCTCAAACGCACATGCTAATATTTGTGCTTTTAGGATCCATTCATTGAGAAAATACAGACTACAAAGAGCTACCATGACTTCCACAGAGCTTTAGAATCATTTGTATTTTCTTCATCACTGCAACAACTACACACACGATGAAACTGGGAGGAGACAGAGGCTGGGGCACTGGGGAGAGACAAGGACCAGAGCAGGCAACAGCGCTGCAGCCTCCCCACATCTGTGGCTCGTGGGTGGGGGACCCTGCCCTTCGCATGCTCAGTCCCCCAAAGCTCCACCTTGGCATGCAGTTTCACCCATGGGGACCCCAAGCGGGTTTTGGAGAGACAGAAGAAGAGAGGACTAGAGGTGGTTTTGACTTGGGGCTACTTACCTTGTGGGGGGGGCCCTCAAGCCCATGAGCACGTCCTGGCCTGGGGGCAAGAGGCTGGGAAGGGAGCCCAGTGTGCAGGAGGATGTCCCAGCGGGCACCTTGGCCTTTGGGATGGGTGGGATCACAATGCCTCCCAGTGACTTGTGCATCTTCTGGTCATTGCAGTGCAGGTATTGCCGGGAGATCTGTACCTGGGTGAGGGGGGAGTTGGAGGGAGGGTTCTGGTCCACATAAACATTTCCTCCTGGATGCTCACCCCCCAGGCCCCTCAGAAGGGTGGTCCCTCCTATCAGGAGCCACTTGGGCAGCAGTGCTGGGAAGTGTCCTCTGGTTTCTCTTCCCAGCCACACGACCCTGGGACCCCCAAAAGCTCATTGTTTCTTCCCTACTCCAGGCAACAAGACTGATAATGGGTCCCCTCATTCCTTTTGCTGTTATTACTATTGGTTTTTCTGTTCTTCTCCTTCCGGAAAAATCCTAGAACAGCAGAGCTAGAAGGGATCAAAAACATCTAGTCCAATCCATTCTTTTTCTAGATGTGCGAACTGGAGCCCCGAGAGGGCAGTGACTGGCCAAGGTCACACAGACAGTGAGTGGCAGAGCAGAAACCAAAGCCCCAATCTCCCGAGTCTTCCGTCGCCTGACATTCTTTCTCCTCTGCCACACGCCCCTGCCTACGACGGACAGGGTCAGAAGCATGAGGAATTCTGAAACATTTAGACCAGAGAAGGCCTTAGGGACCACCAGGTGTAAAGACAGATGGTCACACAGCCTCTCCTTGAGCAGAGCTCAGCACCTCTGGGGCGGCCACCCAGAGCTCCCAGGCCAGCTTCACGGGTTTTGTACACTGAGGGGGAAGATGAGATGAGGGTCCTGAGCCCTTCCCAATGCTGTCCCCATCCCCAAGGGCAGCACCTGAGACACCTCTAGAGAAGCTCAGGGCTCAGGAGCAGGGGTTGATAAAGGATGGAAGGAAAGACAGCAGGGAGGAAAGACTCGGAGCAGTTGAGTCTGCTTACCTCCTGGGTGTGGGATCTCCTCCCCTGAGGCCCCTGAATGCTCGTGGGAGGGTCCAGGCTCTTCTCCTTGGGTCCACCGGACTCAGGGGTGGCAGGGATGCTTTGGATGGGGGGCATCGGCCTGGGCAACTTCAGCAGCCTCTGAGCAGTGGCCCGGGGGATGGCGCTCCTCAGGGGACCCCCTTTGGGGCCTCCTCCAAGATCCAGAGAGGCTAATGGGGTGGAGATGGAGAAATAGTTAGTTCTAGGAGCTCAGGGAGTGGGAAGTAATTCAGAAGCTGGCCAGGGGTGGGCAGAGGGTCGGTAGGCAGGGCTCAGGACTCACCTCGGGAGGATGCTGCCAAGCCTTCTGAGATCCTCCTTTTCTTGAGTTTGTCCTTGAGCTGGGTGGTGTCCCGGGCCACACTGCTGGCTTCTGACTCCAGTGAGGTGAGGGGAACCAGGGGGTGTCGGCTCCGAGACAGGGCCCCGAGGTTCCTGGGGTGGCCATTCCTGGCCTGCCAGCCCTTGAGGGGAGCATCCGGATTGAGGCTTCCAGGGTCAGCATGTCCACTCAAGAGCTGTGATGGCTTCTCCAGCAAGATGCTCGGTGTTGGCCGGAGGGAGGCTGAGGGAGACAGAGGCAAGAGCAGCTTGGCACACAGAGCCCGGGGTGACACCAGGCCCCAGCAAACTCTTTGGCACTACCTCCTTGTAACAGTCAGCCACTTGCCAGGCGAATCCCATTCATTCAATGCTTTAGTTATTTCTGGGTTGATTCATTCATTTAGCAGCATCCAGGAACCAGCAGACCTAAGCAAGACCCACGTCTTGTGGTAACAAGAGGGTGAAAAGCAGAATCGACATGCAGCCCTATCACAACACAGACGAAAGGCCGTAAGTACTCAGGAAAGGGCTTCTGCCCAGAAACCGCCATCCGCCAATCTCCAGGAACCAACCAATTCCTTCAATACTACTGAGCACCTGACATACGCCAGGCACGAATGGAAAGGAGAAGTTCAGATGATTCAGAACAAAGCATGCTCCCATGCAGACAGCAGTTTATCCAATTACTTCTTCAACAAACACTCAGTGGGTGTCTAGTATGTGCCGAGCACTGTCCAGGCAGTTGGAGACACAGAGACATAAGAGGCACACTTTTTTTTTGGATGGCGGTTCTTTTTTAGTATGTTACCTTAGAACAAATTCTTTGAAAATAATTTATGAAATTGCCATGAGAACACATACATAAGCTAGAGCAAAACCTTTGTCAGATTCTTAAACCTTTCTAATCTTTTTCTTTTTTAAATATTAAAACATTTTAACAATATTGTTCCAAAACAGAATTTTGACCTAGTAACTCTGCAGGATGTTTTTGCCCTTAGGATCGTAGAGTGCACATGATCTTATTTTAAGACTCCATCCAACGTATCCTTTATGACAGTTTGTTTTAGGAATAAAACACAATGCAGCATTGCTTCTGAATTATATACCACTCATGTGAGTCACAGACGTTGTCAATCTATTGGAGAAATAAGATATGTTCCTAAGTGGATTCGTTACAAGATGTGAGATGTGCCATCGAGAGAGATCAACAAGACGCTCAGTGCATGTAGAGGAGGAGGGGGACCTGGAAAATCTTCGTGAAGTGAAGTCTTTGAACTGGGCCCTGAATGAGACTGGACCATGGGCAGAGGGGCGGCGGAGAGGGGACACACAAACAGACCAGCTTTCAGAATCTGTCTCACACACAGCTCTTCTTGGAGCACTTTGATGTCAGCCGTGAGACCCTGATGCCCAGGCCACAGATACTGCAATGCGGCTGGCACCAGACCTCAGGAGGGCCCAACTCGGTGCCAGCCACAGGCCTGTGAGGGGACTGGCCTGAAAGAGGGCAAGTAACCAAATCAGACTCTCCATCCAAAACACTGGAACTGGGGCTCTGCGGAGGAAATCTTCTGCAGCTGGAAGCTAAAGCAGAAAGTTGCAGAGCAGAAAATAACAAAGAAGCTGAGTGGGTGTCTTGAAAATCACTGTTCCAGCAGATACTGTGATCCAGACACCCCATCCCCAGCCTGGATGCTGAACACTCACCCAGACCCCGAAATGAAGGTCAGCAGACCCTGTCTCCCTTGGGCTCCTCAGGCTCTCCCGGGGGTCCTAGGGTAGCCAGGTGCACGCTGATATCCCTACTTCCCTGTTCTGAGGTCCTTCTCCGTATACCCCCATCTCCTGAGGCACAGGATTGAAATGACCCACTTAAAACCAAAGGGCATTTTTCAGGAGGGTCCACAGTAAAAACCACACCTGAGGCCACTGCCAGGCATAAGGCCCAAGCTCTGTTCTGTGGTCACCAGCCCTGACTGGGCTGCTGCCAGGTGGAATCCTCTCGTCTCTGCCCGAGGCCCCAGAGAGGCCATCCAGGTCATTTGAAAGCAATTTGGTGTGACCGAGTCACCAGGCCCAGTCCTGCAATCTTACCTTCTCCACAAGCCTGCAGGCTGGAGTCGCTGCTTCCACTTGGGAGTGTGCAGGGCCCAGCACTGGCCGGAGGGATGCTCCCAGAGCACACGGCCACTGGAGCCAGAACCTTGGCTGGGGACAGAAACGTGGGGAGAGTGGCATCTTAGAGTCCTCTGAGACCCGCACTGAGGAACAGACCGCCCCGAGTACGCTAGCCCTCGGGGTGTCTACAGCCCATCCTCCCAAACCAGAGTCTAGCCTTCAGATGGGGGTCTGCCACCCCCAGCCCAGCCAGTCAGGGCACCACGATCCCCCACCGAAGCCCATGACCCTGCTCTTCCCAGTCCCCTCAGCCTGGCTTCTCCGTCCTAGCTTTGCTCCCCCCGCCCCCCGCCCACCATCTTCTCAGCCTCCCTCTTGGGCTCCTTGGCCCCGATCACCTCCAGCCCCGACCTCTGTCCTCTGCATGTCTCATACCAGCTGCTCTGCCCAGGCCACCCCCTCACTGCTATGCCTTTCATTGTCGCCCTCATGCTATAACCCCCGGACCCATGGCTTAGGTCCTGAGTTCTCCCCACAGGGGCGAAGCAGAGCGTTCCATAAACCACTGACTCCCCTCTCCTGGGAGTCCTCAAGCTCCTCATCCACGGTCCTACACAAACCCTTCGTCTTCTCTGCTGAACTCCGGCCCAGCAAAGGCGCCCTCGCTCCCTACCGCAGACGTTTTATGAAGCGCTTCTCTGTCGGGGACTCTGCCCCTCACAGTCCCTGCTGACACAGTCGAGGGCAAGGCTGACTCGTCCTCAGTGGGACCTGAAGACTTGTTGCCCACCCGGGAGTGGGGTAATGAATAACCTCCGGTAACAATGTGGGGGCTGTGAGCCCCAGTGGGGGTGGGGACAGACAGGGCTTCCCAAAAGGAGGGGCCCCCAAGCAGGGAGCCAGGAAAAGAGAGGAGACTCAGCTCGGCCTCTGCTCCTCTGAGAAGTCTCGCCTCGTCTCTGTGTTCCCGCGGCACCCCAGGCACGTCTCCATCTTAACTCTCCTCTCCTTGCCGCTCCCCGTCCAGCCCTTGGCATCCTGGGGCAGGGAGCACGTCTTATTCATCTTCGTAGCACCTGAGCTCAGTGGGCACTTAAATGTTTGCGAGCTGAACCAATGGTCCTGCACCTTCTCAGGAGCAGCCATGGGGCCCTAACCCACCACCTGGAGAAGCCCCCACAAAGTGGGGAAACCCAGCACACCCACCCCAGGGTAGAAGGTCCCTAGACCAGGAGTCAGGGGTCTGGGTTCTCATCCTGTTTCTGTCACCTGTGTGACCTTGAGGAAAAACATTCACTTCTCTGAGCCTCGCTTCCCAGATCAGTGGAACAAGAGTGGAACAGGACCAGGAGTTCATATGACCACATCTTCATTCTACCTCTAGATTTCTAGATTTTTCTACAGCACCTCTCACTTTCCGACAAGAATCTAAAGTCAGGCAGAATCTGCGGTAGCTCTAAATCATGCAGCTGTTTTCCCATCAATATATCACAGCCCCACGGTGCTCCGCCCTGGGAATAATGAGCTGTTCCCCGAATTACTCTGGCTCTCGGGCTCTCCGCATTCCTCCCAAGTGGTCGCCTGGCCTCTGCTCCAACCTCTCCAGGGAACAGCAGCTCCCCACCTCACAGGTGCCCACTCTACCCGGGGCAGAACCCACCGAGCCCCTCACTCTCCAGAGGAAACTGAGGCTCACACAGCCGGTTGCCGGAAGCAGCACCAGGCCTGGGACCTCCTCCCCTGACACTGAGCCGGCCACAGGCCATACACTTCCCATTCTCCTGCCTGTCAGCTGAGAAAATGGGGACACACGTCACCTCCTGAGGCCACGGGCCCAACTCTTCTGTCCATCTTCGTTCTCCTACCACAGAACGGGGAGGCCCCTCAGCCAGCCTCCCAGCTCAGAGAGTGGAGACAAAGCTCAGACTGAGTCTCTAGAACATTCTGAAGCCCTCTCCAGGCCAGGGAGTCCCCACACAGCAAGCCGAGCAGGGAGGGCCAGCGTCAGTCCGCGGAGAGCTGGGCCGGCATGGAAGGCCCGACCTGGCTACAGCTCCCAGGCAGAGGCCAGTCCCGAGGAGAGTCAGAGAAGAGCCCGCCCCCACGGCCTCCCTTGGTGTCCCTTACCTGCAGGGACAGCATCACGGGTGCCCATGCCCTGGGTGGAGAAGGTGCCTGGGAGGTTGTCCAGAGGCCGCAGCTACTCCCCAGGCTGTGAGTACAGTCCTCGGGGGTCCGAGGGCCCCAACCTATAAGCACCCAGGGATCTCTGGTCGGGAGGGGCAGAGAGAAGTCAGTACACACAAATAACAGATACTTTTTAAATGCTTTGCAGAAAGCCCGTCAGGAGCTAAATAAAGCATTCTGTACTGAAGAACTCTGCCACTGGACCGAAAGACAGTTCTTGTCTGACATTTGGACTCTCTCAGACACTTCAGAATTTCCAAGTGCCAAGGCCATGTGCCTGTGGGCACCAAGGGACAGTGGAATTTATCAAGCTGGGGGGGGCCTGACACTTTGTTTGTCCATAAGTTTCTATTTCCTTCAGAAACCCATTACCCTACCAGCTGCCCTGGAAGCTCATGACAAATGTTGAGCTTTGTGACCTTGATCATCACTCAGCTATCACGTGGCGTCTCCCAGGAACTAGCTCTCTAGTTTTCTTTTGGGACACACCTGTGTCTTGAAGTTCTTGGCCCTCATTCTCACCTCAGTGGCCACGCCAAACCTCTGGCCCTCTCAGCCATTTCACGGTCCCGTGGCTGACTACTTGACCACCCCAAGCCTCCTTCCAGCCTCCCTTAAACCTCTGGGATCAGTCATCGGCTGTTGCCCTCAACCTAACTTCATTCTCTTTCTATGGGACAAGGGTCTCACCCAGACTCTGTGACTTTGCACAATTTTATAAGTCATTTGCTGAGGTAATGGTGAGTCACTTTTACCCTGACAGGTAGGGAGGTGGCTTGTGATTAAATCAGGGCAAAAGGTCACATCTACATCTAAAAGGCCACTAATTTTTGAGAGTAGCTCTCTCGAGATATCATCTGGGGACAGGGCAGCATGCAGTGCCAACTCCCTTTGGCTGAGCAAGAAATCCCAACTCAGGAACTGAGAGAACCTGCCTCCTGTCTGGAAACCAGGCCACCGCCCGTCCCCGCCCAGTCCCCAGAAAGCAGAGCAGCTCCTAGCAACCCTTCTGGCCAAACACAGGCTCCAGCGCAGTCCTGGCCTGGTCTCACCGCTCACGACCTCAAGCCACTTAGGTCCTCTGTCTGAGGACGATTTTCTCCACAATCAGAGGAGAAGGCAACGCCCTGTCTGCTGACCACAGGGATGACAAGCAGCCAGAAATGTCCACAAGACATAGCAGGTATCCCTAGCAAGGCGGTAGAAGATTCTAGTCCACAGGTTCCAACACCCCATCCCTCGCCCCAGGGGCTGGTAAAGAGTCAGGAGATAGGTGAGGTGGCTGCTTCTGACAAAGCCCAACAGGAATGTTCCAGGAGGGGACAGACCTCCCACGGCTGAATTACAGCAAACGAGGTGGAGTTCAGGCTTTGGGGACAATGAGAGTTGCTAGCCCCACAACCTCCTGCTACCCATAACCAACTAGAGCATAGAAGTTCTGTGCAAATTATGTGTAGATGAGTAATATTTACCTACAGCTCTTGTTCTTAATCTCAGCTGTAGCTCAGAACCACCTGGGAACTGATTAAAACGACAGATTCCAAAACCCCACCTCAGGCCCCTACTGAACTAGTTCTTCTAGGGAGCAGGCCACAGGGATCTGTTTCATTTCTTTGTTTTTTTTCTCCCTTAAATCCTGAGTGATTTTCATGTTCAAACAGGATTGAGAACAACTGGGCCATATAATTCAGATTCACTTTATAAGAAGATCCCAGCCTTATTTCTCACATTCGCCATCAAAACGGCTATTGCCTCAGTTTCCCCAAGCGATCACTCCCAAAAAGGCTAAAGAGAAGATTTGGAGCTGTCTGAGAGTACAAATAGCACAGGGTTCAGTGGCCACCTCTACTGTAAAGAGCCGTCTGAACAAGACTGTTCCCCATCCCAGCCACCACAAACTTCTCCAGGCAGAAGGGCCAAGACAGCCCACATTATTCCATGCCCCAAAGCAAATCAGCAGTACAGAAAAGAAACCTGGATGCTTCATAGCCTGCTCAGGCATCGGTCAGGCAGAGTCCCTTTTAAGCCTGCCTCTGCCTGTGTCTACACCTTTGACCTCTCAAGCCCCCAGGGTCTACAGTGCAGGATCACCTAGGCACCTACCTGCCCAAGGACAAACAACTATGTCTTATGTCTTACGTGGGAGCAGTGGGTGGCACCTCCCCCAGGAAAGTCACAGAGGCCCAGGACCTGGTGGGAACGTAAAAATCCATGTCCAAACTATAAAGACTAGAATCAGATATTCCAGCCCAAATGTGGACAAAGCTTTGGGGTTTAGTATGGACAGTACTTAACACCTGATCCCCAAGAAACAATTCAGTGAGTCTCCGTTTGCCTCCGGCAGTCTTCCGTGCACCAAGGCGTGACTAACCCCTGTTGGAACAGTCAGGCTCTGACCTAAAGGACTAAGAGCCAGTGGGTTCTGGGGACCAGGATTCTATTCTCATGTCTTGATGCTCTGATTCCTCGAGCTGTTGGGTCTTCCACCCTCAGCTTCAGTTTTCCAGCTCAGGGAATGGGGCAGTCCAAGAAAACTGGCCGTTGCCCACTCCTTCCACCAAAGGTATGACTACAGAGATTCCATGGTGACCGGCACCACAGGAATGAGGAAAGGTGACACAAGAAACAGGTTTCAAGTGGACAGGAAACAAAAGCTAGGACCAGCCCAGTAAAGAATGCCAGTTCTAGGGCAAAATCCTAACCACCCCAGGGCCTTGCACAGCCCACAGGGAGCCGGTGCCTTGTTCCACATCCACCTCGCTTCTGTGGGAGCGAGGCGGAGACTGGTCCTGAGAGAATAGTCCTTACACAGGAAGGCAAGGGACAAGCCTGAGGAGGGAGGAAGGGTCAGAGCAGAGAGGACAAGGAGATGGCCTTGACCCTGAGACGCAGCCCCACCTGCCCACCCTCCCAGGGGCTGCTGCACCCAAAGCTTCTCTTCACGTGGGTGCGACACTGTCTACTTCTCCTTGCAGACTCCTGAGAAACGTGGGTTCCAGTAAGTCAGGTTCTCACCTCCTCGGACGTGTTTGGTGGACTGGCGCCCACGTCAAGATGAGCGGAGAAAGGGAAGAGGGCAAAGTGGGCAGAGCTAACAATCTTAGTTTTTGAACCCAAAAATATGCCCCCCATGGAAACACTCTTCGAAGAGAGGCTCAGACTGAGGCACCCCTCCTACCCCACACCCCATGCCCAGAATCCTCCTGAACGCCCCCCTCAGGGATCCCACAATTTTGCTTTGGAGATCTGCCCTTGACCCTCCTATAGTAACTTAGGAAAGTTATTTAATTTCTTTGCACTTTGGTTTCTCCATCTGAAAAAAATAAATAAAAGTCCTAATAAAGGATACTGTTAGGATTAAAGGAAGTCATGTATAAAAATAATTTAGGACCCTCGCTGGTACATAGTAGTTGCTCGATAATGTCAGGTCTGAGCTCTTCCTCCTCCTTCCCCCACCCACCCATGCCACCCACACTCTTTGGAGTTATGACGGGCCAGTCCTCCATTCCTACAAGACAGACCCAGGTGACACAGGCAATCCTCATGAGGAGGAGACAGACGGGTCTACAGAGTAAAGGGGCAAATTAGACGGTCCTTCGACCCCCTGCAGATCTCACCCATGATTCCGTGCCGCTAACTCAGCGCTCCCTGTGATGCCCGGCAGGATGCAGTCAATCCTGGGCAGAGATGGGCTCACAGGGAGAGCAGCAGCCCTGTCTGGCTCAGCACCTGGAGACGCTCCCAGAAAAGCAGCATTCTCACCGGGCTTGGCAGGAAGCGGGATCCAGATGAGTATAGAAATGGGAAAGGTGTTCCAGGCTGAGGAAACAGTCTCAGCAAAGGCATGAAGGAACGCACAGCTGAGTCTGAGAAGGTGGATCAGGGCCAGGATGGGAGACCTGGGAAACTCCGTCAGAGAGTCTGGGTCTGTTCTGCTGGCAGAGGGAGCTCTCTAAAGACTTTTCAAGGAGAGGGATGACATTGTCTGACTTGTGTTTTCATGCAGATCCCTTGAATGGGAACTGGGAGGAACTTCCTAGAGAAGGAGGGCCTTTGACAAGATCTTAGGACTGAAATTGAGACACCACTAGCCCAGCCTCTGGACTAGGCACAGAGAAAATATGTGACTTAACCAAGATTTGCCATTAGTCATTGGCAGAGTTCAGACCAGATAGCATAACCCTTCCTGTACCCCAAGCTGTCTCCCTAAGGGTAAAGAGTCACCACTGACCCCTCTGCTCATCATACTCACACCTCACCCCTCTACCTAGCTCCCCCTCCCCCGACAGGAGGCGGCCATTCCACAGACCTCCAGGGAAAACTCTTGATATTCTGAATTGACCTATCGGCCTCTGACCTCCCGGGTTCCATCTATAACTCAAAGTCTGAGATCCACTCACTCTTTCGACCACTTGCTAGGTATTAGGATACAAAGGTGAATAAGATTAAATTCCAGGACCTATGAGCTGTGTGATTGCAGGCATGTTGCCTAACTTCTCTGAGCCCGTTTCTTTAACTGTAAATATGGAGATGATACCTATCCCACTTCAATATTGTATTCGAGAAAATACAAAACTCACTTCGTGCTGAGTCTGGCCCTTACAAGTAATAATAACCATCATTATGACAATGAACAAAGCTCACAGCCCCTGTAGGTGGACGGGTTTGGGTGGACAGGGCGGGAGGCTATGGAAAGAATCCCGGAGAGAGGGAAGAAGAGTGCAATTTGGGGCCGAGGTGGATCAAA